CTTCATACTCGTGTAATACAAACCCTGATTCCTCAATTTCACATTTGTTCGTCATTGCATCGAATGCAACTCAGCTCAGCGGGATGTCGTGCTTGATTGACTTCACCAGCATGATGATGATCAGGCGTATCGTGGCATGAGTGAATTGACAGATTGGCATCTCTTTGCGATCGGCAAACTCTAGCAGCAACCTTGGAAGTGGAAACCAGAGATGGAAGTCTTTGAAGAAACATTCGTAAAGACAAAACCATCCCTCTGGGGCATCCCATGGTCGTTCCGACGGACTGGGGACCATAAACACCACCTCCGAGCCGATATTGCATTCCTCTTTCAGCGCGACCAGCGATGCCATGGTCGATTTCGTCGGCATAACTCTGAGGGCGTTGTCACAGATTGGCTTCGCCACCCCTTCACCTTTTCCTCATTTCACTTTCTTTGGTGGTGGGTTCATGTCTATAATCTCGAACTGGTTTACTTCATCTTCTACGATGATTGCGTTCAGTTCATCCGATATATTGATGAGGACCTCACCACGGACAAGCCTCGGGTACCCATCATGTACGAACCACCAAGGACCCGCTCAGGTACAAGGACCATGAGGGAGGAGTTCAACAAAGATGTAGAGAGCCTTCTCAACCTTAAGAAGACGGAGGACATCAATCACTTGCTCAAACAGCTCATTATCAACACAACGGACGAGGACATAACCGAGCGGGACGAGAGCATTACGGACCTTTCCCGTACCGTGGTCGAGAGCATTACGTACCACCCATACCACCCCCGTACCGCGGTCGAGAGCATGACGGGAAGCCGTACCGAGGGGCTAAATGAGCAAGTGGGCCAACAATTGGGATCTTACTACGACGTTCAAAGCCCAGCCACGCTCAAGGCCGGCTCCAGCTTGGATGAATGGCCACTACTACGAGACAGCCCCGGCCCAACTCTTCTCATCATCGCCCCACACCAAAACGACCAAGTTTAGGAGCAACCGTGGAGACAAAGACTTACCATACTTGGGCATGAATCAATAAAGAGGCAACGGTAAGAAACTTGTCAATTATTCCATAATATCTTGTGTTTTCCTTTTGTTTTGCAGGACTTTATTTCTAGCTTCTTTTTAAATTTTCTAGCATGAACTTTTGTAATCTTTTCTTTATGCACTTTTGTATTTTGGTCCTTGCATTTTGTTTATTTCGACCCTAGAAGGTCAAGGCTGAAGGACTATTAATAAAGTCTCATATGCAGCATTGTAGCTTACGTTTTTACCTATTATCAATAAAGAACACACTTTCTTCTCAAAGAAAGCTGCCGCCGAGTTCTAGAGCATTGTGTGGTTTCCCCCTTGTTCTTGAGTTCAAAACTGACTTTATCACGGTTCAATCATCAGCCGTGTGTGTGTCACTCGTTCCATCATTCATCTCCATTCATTTGGTTAAGTAAAGAGAGCCGTTTGGCCAGTTGCTTGATCACCACCCCTCTGTATCACTCATCACGTACCGGATCTAAGTAGAGAGTGCCGTGTGGCCAACTGCTTGATTCATCATTGTACCGGTCATATAAGATCATACCTTTGATCTTATATCATATATCCATCTCATTCGATCGTCCTCTCTCGTTGGCTTTGTCTCGCAGTTTGGGAATCTCAAATTCCACCCTCGAAGATGTCTCCACGGATCTTTGAACAGCTCCGATCTGATCGGCGTGAAATTGATCGACCGCTGCTTGTTGATTTTTCTCTCGTACTCGCTCCTAAAAAGCCTGATCCAATGCGGAGAGTTTGCTCGCATCTGAGGACCGGTCTGACCCTGACTGACGACGACCTCTTTCCCTTTAGATTGGCTTCTAACGACCTGGTCGTCTCTGGACATCTGAAGAAATTCGCTCAAAGAGATGCCAATCTCATTAGCTTTCGCTTGAGGCGACCTGTTTTCCTTCGAATCTGGTCGGCACTCCCTGATCTTCAAACTCTTGTTCATGCTTGATCAGACTTTTGTGGCGGCTTCAGAGCAGATCGGAGAAATCTCGCGGTGGAGATCGAACGAAACGCGTCGGAGGATTGATCAGAAAATAAAAATTAAAGAACAAAGGTAAGAGAAGAAGAGAGCAAACCTTTTGACAGAGTTTTTGCAAATGCAGAAGTGAAAAATTATGACCTGAATATCTCTTATTTATACAGAAATGAGAACGGTTTTCGAGGATCGTCATGATTTTGTGATTGTTCGCATTTCTTCTCATTTTATTTAATCGGCATTTTCGTTTTCCTCCCATATCATTTGACACGTGTCAAACCTAGTTCTGCATGACAAGACCTAGTCTACGAAGGCGGGAAATTTTGGCGCCCAATCATCAATCTGGTTATTGTCTCGTGACCGATCTGAAGCTCAAGGTAAAATTGTGCTTTAAATTCTAACTTATGCAGTGGCCGACCTCATTTCATGTCGAGCTACTTTTCTTAAAATTCACCAAGTAATGCACCCTCACTTGCTGAACTGGAGGAGACTTACTGTTAGAGATGGATTTGTATCCTCTCTAAAAGCCCGACATCAATTCAGATCGGTCCATTTTGAAAACCCTAAAGAATATGTAGGTCGGCCAAATAAATGAAAATCTTCTACTTATCGGACTAAATCCGGCAAAGTCGGAAGATTGGCCTTATCGGCAATGAAGTTTTCCTATTTCGGATATACGAAGTTATCTCTAGAAGACCGACCTGATCGGATATAAATTTAGAAGCTATCAGCTTCTTAAATCTATCCGAAAATTCTCTCGAGAGACCTAGGACAAACTAGCAAACTTATTGTTTTTAGTTCTCGAACTTTTATTCATATTTTATGCGGCATTCTTATTGTGACGACCTAAACCATCGTGTACCTTTTCAAGCTCCGACTTATTTTTAATAAAGATTTCTCTTTAAACCTATTAATTCTTGTTCTTTCTATAAATCAAATTTGAGTTATCACATCCATTTTTTTAGTTTGAGAATTTGATTCAAGTATGTCAAGAATTGATGAATTTCATTCTTAATATAAAGAAAAATTCAGATATAATCAACCTCTCTCTCAAAGAACTTATATGATGAATTAGATAAATGTGGAACCGGCTTCTATTTCAATTCTTTGTTTATAGATTCGAAAATTGTAAGTAAGCCGAGCTTATAAAGCGTTCTTTTTACTTTCGCCATCTGTCTTCTAATTTCTCATTATTGTATTTTGCGAAGAGTAAAAGAAGAAAAACCCTGTTTTCGAGAAAACGCGATTAAAAAAACCCAAAATCCAGATCTTAAGTCTCTCACCCCCAAATCAAAGAGTGTCCGAAAACCTCAGTCTTTGTTCACAAATTGCTTAAGAGTCTCCTGGGGAAACCATCTTAGAGGTAACCTATGCTCATAAATTTCCCAACATTTCCTGGGTTTAATTTTTGTAGTAAAGGAGCTGTAATTGATACTAACTTTAAAAAATAACCAGCGAAGCCTTTTTCTTCCATTTTGTTTGCGATTGAGTGCTTGAACATCTTATTAATTGCTGATTGTTTATCTTGAAGTTTTTTTGTCAATTCAATTTCCATGAATATCTGTAGTTTGATGTTGGGTTCTTCTTAATTTTTTTTATTTTATCAGCAGTTAGAAAAAATGTTGATTTCGTTAGAGATGATGATTTATGAACACCAAATCAGCTCAGATTAAAGATATTAATTAATTTTTAATTATCTTGTCTGATGGAGAAGTTAGCGAAGTTATTGCTCTTTTTATCTTGTAAGAAATTAGTTTCTTTTCCCTGTTAAATATTTTAAAGTTCTATTTTTCTCTTTTTGTATTTTTTCTTATAAATATCTGTAGTTTTCTTTTGGTATGAATGTTATAAATATCTGCAGTTTCTTATTGCTGTGAGTAGTTTTGATGTTAGGGATTAAACTTTTGTTTCTGACTAATAGTTTTTTGTAGAGAATGGATCAACAAGGACAATCCTCAGCTATGAACTATGGCTCAAATTCATATCAAACCAACCCCATGACCACTGCACCAGCCGGTCCAGACCATGCCGCGTACCACCAGATCCACCAGCAACAACAGCAACAGCTAACTCAACAGCTCCAATCTTTCTGGGAGACACAATTCAAAGAGATTGAGAAAACCACTGACTTCAAGAACCATAGCCTTCCACTGGCGAGAATCAAGAAGATCATGAAAGCCGACGAAGACGTGAGGATGATCTCTGCCGAGGCACCTGTCGTGTTCGCGAGGGCCTGTGAGATGTTCATCCTAGAGCTTACACTAAGGTCGTGGAACCACACGGAGGAGAACAAGAGGCGTACGCTGCAGAAGAACGATATCGCGGCCGCGGTGACTAGAACCGATATCTTCGATTTCCTTGTGGATATTGTTCCTCGGGAGGATCTTCGTGATGAAGTCTTAGGCTCGGTTGGTGCTGAAGCCGCTACAGCAGCGGGTTACCCTTATGGGTACTTACCTCCCGGAGCAGCTCCAATCGGGAACCCAGGAATGGTTATGGGTAACCCGGGTGCTTACCCGCCTAACCCGTATATGGGCCAACCAATGTGGCAACAACAAGGACCTGACCAACAAGATCCTGATAATTAGCTTTGCCTAATGAACTGTGAGTTCTATAGCTTCCTCTGTGTTTTATCTTTAACGGTTTGCTAACTTAAAATATAATTTCACTCTTGTTTGTTTTCTGCAGAGAAACCTCTTCCATGTGATTCTGAACAAGAAGAAGAATGTTAACAGAAAATATAAGACATAAAAGTTTGTTGTAGTTAAAACAATATGTTCTATGTCCCATGGATATATTTATCGTTATTCAGTTTGGTTTACCTTATTAGAACTTGCATAACTAAGGCCTAGCCAAAACCAAAAAAAGTGATAGCTTCCTGCAACTACTAAGATTTGGCCAGTTTATAAGATTTAGCTTCCGACAACTACTACAACAAGTCCATAACTAAGCCATAGCCAAACCAAAAAGAAGTGATGATTCCCATATCTACTAAGATTTAAACAGTTTCTCCTGCATCTTCTTCATTACGATCCCTTCAAGAACCCCATCGGTTCCAAAGTTGCCCGAAAACTCCTGTGGCTGCACAGGACCTGGGAGGCTGAACGAAACAGTAAAGCGACCGGGCGGGGAAAGATTCTGCGTCTGCATCTCAAACACCTGAGTATACCGATGAACTTGTTTCCCACCTGTTGTAGTGATTCCTCTAATTAGTACTTTCCCATCGTCTTTTACTTCACAGCTAAAGTGTCCTGCCGTAAACAAACGAATTTGATCAAGAAACAGGGATAAGAAAAGTAAGAACTCAGTAAAAAGACACTCACTTTCATCTCTTTTCACACCGGGAAGCGATACACGGAAGAGATAAGCGTCAGTGCAATCACCGATATCAATCAGCCGCATCACATGTCCAGCCTGAGCTCCAGCTTTTGCAGCAACATCACTTTCGTCACCACAAGTGCAATCTTCTAAACAAGCAGTATCCGGTTCTAAGCCCTCATCAATCTCATCCTTAACATCAATGGGATCTTCCAAACAAGTCGTATCTTCTTCCAACGGTTCTAAGCTTTCATCAATCTCGACCTTAACATCTTTGGCTGTAAAAGTTTCAATTACACCAATGTCAAGGGTCAAAGTAAGGCTCTCCATTCCCGTAAGCCGCTTAAAACGTTCCACACAGTCTTCTCTCATACAAGAGATATCTGGATCATTGATGAACACAATGCTCCGGAGAAGCTTATACCGATTCCCAACGCGGCTTTCAGGGTGCAGTTTTAGCGGAAACAGATCAACGAAAAGCGGGAAATCCTCGCTGGTTTCATAGCGTTTTCCGTTTAAGTATCGGCGTAAAGTTTTCGTCTTTACGATTAGACATGGATCTGCATTGTTGAGAATGTAGTGATACACACTTTCTAGCTCAGCTCGCTTGATGAGTGAGCCATTTAGCTCTTCTTTTGCTGGGAGATTGGACGAGGCTTGAATCTGAAATGCTGATTGCTTCTTCTTGAGATGATGATGTTTCTTTATATCTGGTCCGAAGTAAGTTCCTATGATGAAATGTAAGAGAAATAACTTGTCGTCTTCAATGTCTAGTGAGATCAACACATTCTCTTGTTCAGAGCTCTCCTCTGCTGCTAAAGCGAACACAATTTCACGGATTGTACCACTCATATCTAAAAAACAAAACCACAAAATCAAAGTTAAGTCTTTATAATGAGTTTATCAAAAAGATCGAAGCTTTCCCGACAACGTTTCTGTACGATTACAACCTCTAAAAATTAAAAAACATGGACATGCAGCAAGACATTATAACCAATTTGAATCAGAATACACGAAATTGCTACACTGATTGTAATTGTAGGTTAAAATTTGGAAAGATTGATTTCACTTTTTTAGGAGGTTTAGAGAAATTGAAATGCATATAAAAAAAATTGGAATCAAAGGTAACTAACCGAAGTGTAATTTAGGGTTCTACAAAGTGAAATCAGTCCATCAACAGGAATTTGTTTTTTTTCATACCTTTTTTTTTTCTCGCTGTCTCTCATGAGACGAACTGAAAGCGACTGAACCGCTTAAATTAGGAATTTAGCAAATTTGCATTTCTGGTTGAATATATATATATATATATATATATATATATATTTTCCTCCTTTTAAAAAAATTCTCATTTTACGGTTTAATTTTTATTTTACAAATATAGCCATTCTACATTTTCAATACAAAATTTAATATAAAAATTCAATTTTGAATTTACTAATTTTATGGTTTAAGTAGATTAAATATTATTTTATATATAAACAAGATATAAAATAAATTTTTTAATAATTTTTTTAATTTGTAAAAAATGTGTCAAAGTGATACTTTTTGTAAAACAGAGAGAGTATTGTAATTAGATGATGTGCTGATATCATTTTTTATAAAATTAATTAGATGTAAGGAGCTAAAGAGATATATTGGAGAACAGTGAATCTTTTGGAAAGCCTTGCAAAGAAAATGATGCCAAAACGTTTGCAACCACATTGGTCAGAATCGCTTCTGTAGAAATATCAGCTCGGACGAAAGCTTGATTTAGCTTCTAAGGTCTTCTTGAGATTCATAGAGAATTGAGTTACATGTTGGCTGTGGAAGTCTTAAGTCATTACGGTCTGTGGTTAAGTAGTTACGGCAAAAATAATGAGCATCGGTCTGGCGTAATGGTTACAGTTTGATGCAGAAACCTACAACGAGCATGAGCTACAAGCGTTTCGGTTTATGTCTGATGAGGGATTTCACAACGACCAAGTGCAACGGTTTCAGCCAGATGCAGGGTTTCACAAAGACCAAGTGCAACGGTTTCAGACTGTTGCAAGCCTCCCGAACTTTGACCAACTTTTACCTAAATTTGACCAAGCCTCTTTTAAACTTTCCTATAAATATGGCTTAACCTAAACCTTATCTTGTATCCTAGATCTTTTATCTCTTGTTCTGATCGTTCTCTTTATTTTTTTTAAGATCAAAGAACAAAAGTTTGGGATTTGTATCTTAGATCATTGCTTTTTCATTAAATCTTGTAATTATCTTTTATTTCTTCTTGTTTATCTTTGTTTGATCATGTTTTTCCATTTTTCTCATAAATCAGTGGATCTAAACATGGTTAGTGAGTAACAAACTTAGGTTTGAGATCAAGGTAGATTAGGATGATTCCAATGTTTGTTTAAGATGTGTAAAACTTAGATCTTTGTATTTCCTCTCATACATGATTGATTTTAATGTGATATACTCTATATTTATACCATATTATATATACATTTAGCATTAGTTTCAGCATTTAGGCATCTTTTCTTACTTGTTCTTGTCCCATTTGCATCTATTAGGACTTAAAGTACAATTAGGAGTTGCAATGCATGTTTTATGCATTTTAAGTACTTGGCAGGTGCAAATGAGGTGTTTAAAGGCTATGAGGAATTTTGGGAGTGATCAAGGAAGGGAATCAAGGCAAAGAGGGCCATGTCGAGCAACATATTAGGATGCTTGTCCGATACAAAGCATACCTTGCTGAATATCGGCTAGGCCAAGCCGATACCAGAGGATGGACTCGTACAGAGCTGCATATCGGGGGCTACACATCGATACAGGCGAGACAGAACAGTAATGAAAAGTGTACCAAGGAGCTTAAGCCGATGTGCCTTAACCGGCGGTGAGCATACAAACCAGCATACCAAGGAGCTCTGACCAATACAACTCCTTCAGGATACAAGTACCGACCAGAGTATCGATCAGAAGCAAGCCGATACAAGGGAAGGGTAAAATACTGAGGAACGTATCGAGCTAACCACCCTGATGTACCTTAACTCCATGCGACTATACCGAGCAGCGTATCGACCAGCATTGGTCGATACAACCTTCAAGCGACCAATTTCGACCAGTGTATCGACCAGACAAGCCAATACAATCCCTTTGAATCAGCCAATTTCCCGTTTACTCCTGGTTTACTAAGGGTTTTTCTAAAACACTATAAATATGTAAAGATCCAATTTTTGGGATTTATTTTTTATCCATTAGACAATAGCTTTCTCTCTAGATTTTCTTCCTTGTAATCTTGAATTTATGCTTTGAATCTTCTTTATTTAATCCAAGTTTGTGTTTATCTCCTCTATATTCATAATTAGATATCTTCTTTTGATTAAGTTTATGGCTAAACCCATGTTTGGTGAGTAGTCTTGTTAGGGTTTGAGATAGGATAGATTGAAGGAGTTTGATGCTTGATTAATGATTTCTTAGTGTTACTTCTTTCATTTTTCCTTGTTATTGATGATCTTAGTGCTAGATTAGCCCTTGCTAAGTTGATCTAGATCCTAGAGTTCACTTATGCATGTGAATTGTTTGTTGAATTGCATGAATGAGTCAAGTAAGAGATTTTCTTATCCTAGCCTAAGAAATTAGATGTTTAGGGAGTAGATTGGCAGTAATGGAATTGGATTATTTGCTTGTAATGCTTTTTATTCATTTGTTCATTAATGGGAATTAGTTCTTGCATGAATGTTTTAGCAAAGTGATTAGTACCAAGAGATTGGACTAGTGATAGCTATAAATTATGTACGTAGGGAAGCATTGTTATGAGTTTGAAGCATCATTAATTGAGTTGAGAACCTCCCTTTATCAATAACCCCATCTTAAGTCCCCTTTTTCTTGTATATTGCTAAGTTTGAATTTGCTGTTTATCTTAGTCTTGCTCTGTTTACTTTTGCTTGTTTGAAATTTCATTCTAATGATAGGACCATAGCTTCCATTATTTCATCTTGTTGGCTTGAATTAAGTGATATGTTTCATTCTTAGTGTCTTAACCTTCCCATTATGGATTGATAACCTACATACTACAATGACATGAGTATATGTGAGGATTGAAGTAACATAAACACCTACATCAATTTAGCTCCATTGCCATTTGGAATTGTTCTAAGCATTAGGATTTGTAGATTGTCTAAGATCAAGCTTTTGATTTTTGTTTCTGGTTACTGATTACTCTCTTTGGTCTAAAATTTCTTGTGTAGGTACCAAAACACTTGCTCTTAAGTTTCTACAACTGCACCAGAAGTTAAAGGTCCAAGAGTTTGGGTACACAGCAGCTCACACCAGTTGCTGAAGCACGGAAGAACCTCCATATACTGCTGATTTTGGTCTACAAGGTCCTCAAGTTCCACAAGGGATCCAAGGATTACAAGGACAGCAAGGTCCACATGGTTTACAAGGTGCTTGGGGTATGAGAGACCAAAGGCAACAAAGACCCATAGGATCTGGCGATTCACCAACCTCCTTTGCTTCAAGACATGGCATTCTTCCTCCTATGGAGAACACAAAGATCAAAAGTGGGATAAATGCCATGGTCCAAGACAACAGATTCTTTGGGTTGCCAAATGAAGATCCCCTCGATCACCTTGACAACTTTGAGAGAGTTTGCTCCATGGCTAGGCTGAGTGGAATATCTGATGATGGTTTGAAGCTAAGACTTTTTTCTTTCTCACTTGGTGATAGAGCTCAATTGTGGGGAAAAGATTTTGCAACAAGAAAGCATCACCACATGGCCAGAATGCAAAAGTGCTTTCCTTCCTAAGTTCTTCTCTCCCTCTAAGACAACAAGATTCATGAATTAGATCTACAACTTCAGCCAATGGCCTAATGAAAGCTTTGGAGATGTTTGGGTGAGGTTTAGAAGTTTCATAGTCTAATGCCCTCATCATTGCTTCACAAAAGAAGCACTCATGTCCACACTCTATAGAGAAGAAGTCAAAATCGATAGAACAAAGTATATCCCCTTCAATATTTTTCTTCTATACTTGAGAGGTCAAGAAAAATAAAGAAGTAGATATTAAGTATGTTCGCTCAAATGACAACGCAGCTGATCTCTTCATAAAAGCACTTCCTACTACAACATTCAAGAAAGCATATTCATAGTATTGGAATACAGTATCTACGAGATTTGTGAAGAAAAAATAAGATCCATCATTTCCAAAAAGTGACTCTTATTGTTGTATTCTTTTCCTCTTTATCATGATTTTTATCCCAATAGATTTTTTCATAAAAATATTTTCAATAAAGCATCACACAACATCACACAACCTCACAGAGATCAATACTAAAAGAAAAATATCACTGCACTTTTTTTTGTCATGATTTTTTTTTTATCATAAATAGATTTTTCTAATGATAAAATGTTTAACAAACGTACTACATCATTAATAAGGAATAATCAAAAAAGAATGTTTATAATAAAAATGATTATCCATCTATTCTTTTAATAATGTTATTCCTCCCATCGACTTTGAACCCACCACCTCATCACTACTAATACTATATACAGGAGTCTCATTTGTAATAAACACAAATGAAAAGAAGAGAATAATATTAATCTTTCTTTTTCTACATCTCTTTTTATAATATAACATATATAGTGAAAGTCGTTTTGGCCAATGGTTTGGCTAAGTCTCTATTAATACTTTTATATCTAGAGATTTGTATTTTAAATCCTAAAAAATACAATTTATTATTAATTATGTAGATTAATGAAAAAAATGTTATATAAATTTTTCAATGTAGTGTAAATAGAGTCGTTAATAATAGATTTTCATAAAATAATAAAACAGAGTTATTAATCATGAATTCTTATATAACAGTAGATTTAATTATTTATATAATAGTTCTCATAATTTATAATAAAATAATAAATCAAAATTTAAAAAAGGAAAAATAGTTATAATAACTCATATATTTTAATTTATTATAAAATATACCTTTTTGAGATTGTCCAAAAATATTGTATAAAAAGTGCCAAATTTTTACGTATCCTCTACCTATTAATTGAAAATGTAGTTTAATCAAAAATGCTGATTTGTTTTAATTTGATTGGTTAATATGTTTAATTTGAGCAATGATGATGTGTAATGATGATGTAATTATGACATATCAGTTTTTATTACACATGGCTTGTGACATGGCATTATTTAATCTATAAATAAAATTTGATGTTAAAATTTTGATACAAAATTAAAGTATTTAGAAAAATTATATTTTTGTTAAATAGATTTGAAATTATATTTCGACACAAAAATTTTGCTAAAAAAATTTTCGCATTTCAAATATTTAGCAGAAAATTTGTGACAACCTATTTAGCCAGAAACTTTTTGATATCTCACGAAATCAAATTAAAATACTCTAAAATAAATATTTTTGGTGGAAACGTTACAAATTCATGTTTTTGGCGAAAAAAATTTTGAAATCAGATTTTCAAGAAAGTTTTTTCAAATTATATTTTTAAATAAGGTTTTTTGACGAAAGATTTACGGTTTCACTTATATAGCAGGAAATTCATGAAATCAAAATTTTGACTTGTAGTTTTTAGAATCACATTTTTAATGTTAAGTTTTTGGCAAATTTTTTTTTATGAATTCACTTTTGGCGAAAAATTCACAAAATCAAAATTTTGATAAAGTGTTTTTAGATCATATTTTTGACGTAATGTTTTGGGTGTGAAAGTTACGTATTCATGTTTTTGGCATGCAATTTGTGAAATCTGTTTTTTGATGGAAATTTTTGAAATCTTATTTTAAGTAAGTTTTTAGCAAAATATTTTTAAGTTCAATTGTTAGTTGTGTGAAATTTTGTGGCATCAAATTTTTAGAAGGAGAATTTCTTCACTTTTATTATTATCTTATTTTGTCTCACTATAAATAAAGATCAAAAGTTTATATTATATGTGAATGTATTTCGATTATATAGTGAGAATTACGAACCAGAAATAGGATATAAAGTGACAGAAAAAATATAAAAAAATGAAAAATATAAATAAAAAATAGAAAATAACAAATAACGAAGAATCATTTTATTTTATTTTATAATTTTTTAAAAAATATTTTAAATTTTGTATATGTTTTATTTTTTACTATGACTCAATTTCTCAAATCTATTAAAACACTTTTTTACAAACAAATTTTTTTAACAAATATATTATCAAAACAGGCCAATCACTTATTTATTATTAATGATATATATTATTAATAATTAATTTTTTATAAATTTTTCATGCCCACACAGCTACCTAGTTTCTTTCTTATTACAAAAAGAATTTTTAGTAATTACACAATATCATTATTCATCACCTTTCACGAAATAAAAATTAAATTAAAAGTGGCTAATTTCTCTCTCTTTCTCAAACCAGCCGCAAATGTCTCTCCTTCCTCAGATTGCCTGCCTCTTCGCTGATTTGGTGTTTCTTGCTGCCACTAGGGAGGCTCTTCCTTCTTGTTTCCGTTTTTCTCTCCCGTCTTCCTGCGATGTCCTCTGTTTTCCGGCAACATAGCTTTTTCGATCAAGGAGTCTCCATCAATTATGGTAGGCCCGGTGCAAAGTGGTGGGTGGCTCTCTTGGTGGTACAATTGGAGCTACTTTTTTCTTTGATAAAATTGATTTTCTATTTGTTTTGATATTTTTTTTTTTTCAACTAGAGCTGCTTTTTTATATATATGAAGATTTGTGAGATAAATGAGAGGTTATAAGAAATGAAAAATGGAAAGAATGTTCCCCTCGTGAAGCAGCTCGTGATTCAGCTGAATATGGGATGCGTTGTTATACAGACATGGTCTCGAAAGTGACTCACATGTAACATCTCCCTCTTCTCCTTTCCTTCTTTTGGATTTAACAGAATGAGAAACATACACGAATCAACAAATCACAAACTATGATTTTTTCTTTTAAAAGGTGGAAGCAATGTTGGACAAGATAATATGCGCAATGTCAAGCGTATTCATTGGTGCATCGGGTTCTACTTTTATAGAGGATATCTTGAAACTCAGAAAAGATTGGAGAACTGTTTCAGATTGCGAGGAGTATCTCTGCAAAATGAGCAGCCTAATTTTGTAGCTGATCATGAATAAGTTAGGAACAAAGCAGATTAACACAATCTCACGTCTTGTGAGAGTTCTCAACTTCTCATCATAAACAGTCTGATTCTCTTTTTGTTCTTTTGTGCATAGGTTATTAGTGTATCATACAATAAAGCCACGCTTCTCTGTAACTCATTGCTGTTCCGATATAACTTCTGTGATGAAAGTTTCTCAGTGATTTAAAATTAAACACTAACCATTTAAGTTTTAGGTTAAACAATATTACCAAGCACTAATTCAAAAATCTTCATTAACACTACAATGAATATATCTACGATGCATACGATGCATAAATATATCAACAACATATGTCTACACTCTGAAAAAACAACTCTACATCGAATATACAATCTTTCGAAAGAACTTTATGTAGGAACCGCAAAAACCGAATAAGAAATGCGATTAATAAAACCGAGTAGAAACGATAATATAAGGTACGGAAAACCGAGTATAGAAAACGTTTTCGAGAAAAAACCGAATATCGGAGGCGAGATGATCTCTTTCCGTAACTCAATAAATCGTCCGTAGTATGACGGTGATATGCGATTTTTGAATCCCAAGATACAACCGATAATAGACCGATTCACAACACTCGAAGCGGAATCTATGAACTTAGAGTAGTACGATAAACTCTCGAGACTTACGTTAAAAGAAGAGGATTTGTTGGATTTTATGAAGAGTGAATTTTCAGTGTTTTCGAACTGAGAAATAATGAGAGTCACGGCTTTCTTTTAAAAGCAGAGGAGAACGGTTTCATGATCCGCGAATCTCCGCAGAAGGTGGCACGTGCGCTTGTTACGCGAAGAGGGGAAGTGAGCGGAAGTTGAGGAAAAACTTTTGACTCGGTTGAGAAAAATATTTTCAACTTTGAACCGTAGAATATTCTTATTGGATCCAAGGATATTTAATTTCGTTTAAGTATTGGGCTTGAAACAGAAATGAAAATTTGGCCCAAAAAAGAATAACCACCTTCGGCCCGAAGGCCCATTCGACCAACACGACCTGCGCCTGGCTTGGTGGCGGCGGCGCGTGGCTTGGTCCGATCTCTCACATGTACACCATAAGTGTTAGCCATTTTGAACCATGCTAATCTCCTTCTCCTTATATAGTGGAAAGTTTTTCTCCATATTTTCGATGTGGGACTTTAACACATCTTTGCTCACAATTTTTATTTCTTCATTCACTTGGGCTTGAGCCCATTTCTTTTCAATTTTTGCCAATATTTTCCAAAGCCCGAAGGCTTTCAAAATTTGGGTCCAACACTTTACAACAAAGAAATCAACTTTACAAAATTTCTTCCCTCCCAAACAACTCTACTTAATTTATCATATGTTTACTAAATCTGTAAAACAAATTTACGATATTCCAATAAATCTGCATTATATAAACATAAATCTACCTACTAAATCTACGAAAGTCTACCTAACAAATCTACCAATTCAAAAAAGTCAACCAAAAAATCAGATACTAAATAAGTCCTCCATGCAGTGCCGATTCAACAATTTTTGATGCCCTATACAAATCTAAAAAATATATCTTTTATATATTATATTTAAAACTATAAAAGTATTAATATAAAAAATTACGGTTAAACTTTATAAAATAATATAATTCCGAACAAATAATCCCAATTTAGAAACAGTTTATAAGGAAAAAAACAGAAAATACATATTGTTGAAAGATATTGTTTTTACAGTTATGCCTGTAAAATCATTTCTTAAACTCACTAATTGATAACTTCAAATATTCATCGTTTCAGTAAGATAATTTTATACAAATTTTTTTATTAATTTATCTTATTTTATAAAATATAAATAAAACAAAAATCAACATTTTTTCATCGAACTTAAACGTTGTCAAAAACTGATAAATTTATAGTTATAATTTGTTTTTCTCTCATCAATCCAAAAAATTTAAAAATACCAAAAATCTTAAAAATAAGTCAATAACTCACATATGTGACAATAACAAAACTATGATTATGGTATTGAAAATATAAATAATATTATTGTTAAAAATGCTTGAATCTTTATTTACATGTAAACATATTAAAAAAATTATGCCCCTTTAAGATTTACTGCTCTAATCGGTCGCTTGGGTAGTTTACTCTGTCGGCCGGCCCTGCCTCCATGACTAAGTTTGTAGACTTAATGTCCCATGAATATATCTAAAATTCATAAATATATCAACAAGACAACAACATATGTCTACACTTTGAACTAACGACTCTACAACGAATAATAAATGTACAATCTTTCAAAATAACTCTAACAACAAAGAAATCAACTCTACATATTCCACTCCCCTCCTGAACAACTCTACTTAGCTGAAAGTCTACAACCACACACATTCGATAAATCATGTCATTGATATATAACTCATCGATAACGTAAAACTAAGTCTGCAACACATTAAGAGCTATTCTAATAATTACAGAACAAGAGAAGATAAATCTGCTTCATGCGAATTTATATATTAAATCTACAGCATCAAAACATATCTACAATACTAATTCTAAAATCTACAACACTATATTGAATATATCTACGAATATCAACAATATATGTCTACAGTCTGAACAAAAAAATATATCTACGAATATCAACAATATATGTCTACAGTCTGAACAAACAACTCTACATCGAATAATAAATCTACAATTTTCGAAATAACTCTATGATGAGGACATGGACCGTTTGACCGTACCGGGTCGAGAGGATGACGGTAGCAACGACCAGCAGCCCGTACCAGTATCAAAAGAGCCGGACTCGAACACCAAACCATCCGTACATGGCTCTCCCATGACACGTTCTAAGACCAGGAGGTTGAGAGAAGGGTTCAACGAGGCAATACAAACACTTTTGACCAACATGGACATGGAGAACATACTTAGCCCCCAACCATTCCCCATTGCACCCGAACTAGACATTACCAAGATGAGCCTCAAAGACGACCGTACTAGCATAAACCAAGGTATGAAAGTTTGTTTGACAGGAAATGACGTTCAGAATATCAACAAACCCACCAAGACTGTACCAAAGCCGCGAGCCACACCAAGTACAAGTATAGAAGCCGATAAAGCATCATTGGAGCAAGAAGATGAATCAAGACCCGAACGTGGAGAACCTCATGAAGACACGCACCAGCTCGACTTCTACACTCATCAGTACGAAGAGAACGTTGAGAAACTCGCCCCAACCGCACCAGAACAAGCCACATTCGCCAACGTACCAAACAAGCATCAAGCGCACCAAAACCAGGTATTCTCAATTTATACAATTTTTGCAGGTACTGAGGCTTGCCTCAATAGTTCTTAAGCATCCCAACACGCTAAGGAACCACCAGTTCGAGCCACAAGAGATTCGGCTACGTTTAGCTTTTATTTTCTTTTTAGTTAAGTGAACTTTCCATTTTCATGTATTTTTGCCTTATGCGTTTTGTAGCTTTTCTTTTGCTTTGTGTTGTTGTTTCTTTACTTTTATTTCGGCCTTAGGGATAGCTGACGAGCTGTTTATAAAGCTCCCTTGCAGCGTTGTATGATTTTTACCCTATATTATCAATAAAGACTGAACTTTCTTCCAAAAGCAATAGCCGCCGCTTTGCCTTTTGTTCTTGCTTTGTTCTTGTTCGTGTGACTCGTGCAAGACTAAGTGTTGCTGTATCAGGGAGCCCTCCATCCTCTCTGTGGTGCCATCAATCCACTTCTTTTCACCATTCATTCGATTCCTCAAGAGAGAGCGTTATAGCCAGCTTGACAGATCCCACCTCGGCTCAAGGAGTTACCATCACGCCTTGTTCTACCATTCCCACCCCTTAGTCAGCACAAGAGAGCGTCAAAGCCAGTGTGTTGTCTCCACCAAGTCCCCCACTCTGATCACCGTAAACTCCTAACCGAGTATTACATCATCTGGTATCAGAGCCGAAGATTCTATCTTCGGTTTCCTATCCTTTACCTTATAGATCCATTTCTAGTTGCTCTTGTTTTTCATTGTTGTTTGGTCTCTTTGCTTATCCTTTTTTTGAAAAATTCATAAGAATCGTTTACTTGTCTTGCTTAGTTTCGTGTTTTAAGTTTTATAAAAAGAAAAACCCAAAAGAATAGATCCGTTTTGATTGTTTCATTTCCTTGTTTAAGTTGTTAAGTGCTTTCATAAAACCTATAAAAACCATAAAAAGTTTTTCCTTTTTGTTTTTGCGTGTTGCTAGTTGTCTTTGGTCATATTGCTTGATTATTAGACTAGTCAGTAATCTTTGTTATTTGTTAAATTCGTTGGTGCCTTGACAAGTTTGTTAAGTGTTGCAAGGTTAAGCCGTTTTCACAACATGACCGAGGAAGCAAACGGTGCACCAGTTGATCTCGCTCAAGTGCTAGCAGCCATGAGGGAGGACATGAGAAACATGACCCAACAGATGGGTACCATTCGTCAAGAGTTTGGAGCTCGTCTTGAACATATTGAAATTCAACCGAGGAGAGCGGCTGTACGAGGCCCCCCCATACCACCAGTAGACCCGGGAGACGAGTTACAAGACACTGATGATGACAACCTTGATCCTCTCATGAGACGAGGGCAAAGGAGACAAGATCCCCTACAAAGAAACCCAAACCGCGAGGTAAATGCTAGAGATACAAACCATGACATTAAACTAACACCTCCTACCTTTGCAGGAAAGTCTAATCCCGAGCTTTACTTGGATTGGGAGAGGCGTATGGACCACATATTCGAGTGCTATGGGTACCCGGAGCGTAATAAAGTAGCCGTAGCAGCTGCTAACCTCACGGAGAACGCACTTGCGTGGTGGGACAGAACCGTAGCTGAAAGGAGAAGGCAACGGTTTGGCCAAGTGTCAACATGGAGCGATCTGAAGTATCTGCTCAAACAAAGGTATGTACCTGAGCATTATCATAAGGACTTACAAAAACGTTTTCGTAAGCTTTCTCAGGGAGCAAGGAGCGTAGATGAGTACTTTGAGGAGTTTGAGAAGCTGATGAACTCTTTAGAGTTAGAGGAATCGGAGGAAGCCTTAATGGCTCAGTTCTTAGACGATTTGCAAGAGAGGATTGCAAGGAAGGTGGAGCGGATGCAGTACGCGGGAATGCATGAGTTACTACATTTAGCTGTGCAAGTAGAACAACAAATCAAGCGCAAGAACCCCCACTTCAACCGCAACAAACCTACTCAGTCGTGGACG